CGGATTGCTCAAGGTCAGGAGTCAAAACCAGCTGAGCAAGAGCCAGACCGCGTCCTCTACTATAAAAGTAGAAAGAAATTAAGTGGGCTACAACATATATAGAAAAAAACTTAACGGGCATGGTGGCGCATGCCTGTATCCCAGCTACTCAGGAGGCTGAGGCAGCAGGATTGGCTTGACCCAGAATATGCGAGTTTGCTGTTGAAGCAGGCTGACGCCAGGGCACTGCCACTCGTAGCGCTCGGGCAACAAAGTGAGACTCTGTCTCTAAAAGAAAAAAGACAAGAAACAAAAAAAAAAAAAACAACTTAACCTTGTGTTTTGAAGAAGATTATTCAGAAGAACATATTTTAAACATGATTATTTAAAAAATTTTAAAAATTGCTTAAACTATAATTGTTAGAGTTTGGCTTGTTTGGGATGGATAAAGCAGCAGTCTTTGTTCTTTGCAAGCCTATTATATTCAAAGGTAAATTTTAAACATTCTCTCCTGTTTTTCCGTAAAAAAAAGGGGTCGCGTCAGAGCTGTTTTTCTCAACCCGTTGCTGCCTTCTATGCCCCAAATACCAGACTTGCATGCTCTAATTGCAAACCATTTGTTCCCTCCAATATTTCATGCTTACCTACTTGCATTCGTTTCCCAGTACATCTGCGATATGTCCCAAGCAGGGATTTGACGCCTCACAGGAATGTATTGCTCCAGTGTCCAGTTTGGAAACAGTGTTAAATTGGCTATTTGTAGGAAGGAAAAAAATATATTCTTGTTAAGCCATAAACCATCGCCATGGTGTGTTTAAGTAGACTTCAAAAAAAAAAAACCCCGTCTCCCTTGAATTTTAGCGCATTAAGTTGGGTGATTTCCTTTATAATGTCTCGACGTTTATATGCCTTACTGGTGAATTTAAAAATCTGCCTACGACGTTCAAAGGAGTAAAATAGCTAGACCTTCGTGTGCCGCTTAATTTGACAAAGAAAGACTTAAATATATATGGAAAGTTTTCATTTTTCTTCTTTTTCCTTTTTGCTTGTTCGATACCAGAAAGAAATATGGTTGTAGGGAAAAGGGTGTGGGCATGTTTTTTGAAAGTTTGTATAGGAACATGGGTTTTGTAGTATTAAGTGGTTAGGTGTCTTTCTAATTCCTGTGAAACCACTATTCTGGTATAACCGAAAGCATCTCTCTGGTAAAAGGTTTTAGAAAATGAACTTTCTTAAGCCCAAAATAGGTATACAGCAGAGCAAACAATGAAGATGGTCCTTCTAAAGAGTCAGCGATACTACCAGAGTGTGGTAGCGTAGCCCTTGTGGAAATGCTTAACTCGTTTGTTTATAAGGTTGACTAACCAGTCTAATTCAGTTCTAGAACTTTAAAACAATGTTTCTGAAGAACTATAAAGTCTGAGACCCTTGCTTTGTTCCTTGACTTCCGCTGCCCAAAAGCAACTGGAAAGCTAAAGCTTTGATCATCATAGGACGTTCATAATGTTCTTTTAAGGGAGTTGGGGTCTCACTCTGCCCCGACTGGTGCAGTCGGTAGCGCCCCGGAAGGGATTTCATGCAGCCTCAAACTCCTGGCTCAAGCCTGTGGCTTCCCGCCTCAGCCTGTCCCTAGTAGCTGGACTAACAGGTGTGTGCCAAGCCGGACGCACCCGAGGCTAAGCTTGTTCATTTTTAGGTAGAAGCACAATGTCTCTGCTCTGGTTTCCCAGGGTGGTTTGTTCGGCTCCTGGCCTGCAAACCATCGCTCCCCACCTCTGAGGATTTTTAACAGTTAGTTTGTATTCCCTGTGGAGAGTATCTGGAATGGAATGAATGCAGACAAGAGAAAGAAATGGAGGAAAGGAAGAAAGAAAAAGAAAGAAGAGTGAGAAAGGACGAGACGGAGGGAAAGAGTGAGAGTGCCAATCCTGATACCCAAAGAATGTCCTGCCAGGACCGAGTACAGAGGTAAGAGGGCGTGCTCAGCAACTATCCTTTCTGGCTACCCCCTCGCTGGTCATATCTTCAGTACTGCAATAGTCACCTGCGGACGGCACACCAGAGAAACCTCCTTCGATTGTCTTCGCTCCCCTGCCGTGGTGGCACCAGGAAACTCCGGCTCTTGTCGCCCGAGGCGTCAAGCAGCTAATAAAAAGAAATTTAAGCCAAAAATGTCACTTTGTATGTGATCTGTATCATACCATGTTAACTTTTATATTAATGACATATATTTATTCTTTTGTAGAAGAAGCCTGCCCTTGCCAGTAAGTACTACACTCTTACAATGCATATTCTTTTTTCCCCTCTATCAACTAATTTTCTATTAATGATCTGTCTAATGTCAAAAGTGGAAAGTTTGGTTCTTTGACTAGGTTTAATCCTATAGAAAGCTTACTCCACTTCATCAAGAACATCCCCGATCTCTTAAAGTCTCTATTGCCTCAGGTATCCACTTGGTAGAATGACGTTAATCGATGGGGTAAAGAAATACGTGCTCACCATTTTGATCATCATAGACATTCTCCAGTAAGTACTAATTTTAAACACCCAGTATTACGTGTATTCTTCGCTAAATATGGAAACAATTTCAGAGGTAAAAATTTTAGCGCGGTCACTCAACAGGTCTTTTTAACATCAATGTTAAGCTGATGTGTGGTGGACCAACACTTATTTTAAGGACTGGAGATACAGCAGCGAACAAAGAAGACCAAAAAACAAAACAAAACAAAACCACAACCGAAACCCTGTCTTGATGGGTGGCTTATCATCCTAGCAGAGTATATATGTGTGCTTATGTGTAATATTTTTTTTAATATTAATATTATTGTGATGTATGTTTTATCTATATATATGTTAGTATGATAAGTTTTATAGGAAAATAGATGCAGGTAAGAGAACAGGGGCAATACACAGAGGCAGAATGAAATTCGCCCTAATCCCGCCTCGGCCTCCCAGAGAGCTAGGATTACAGGCGTGAGCCACCGCGCCTGGCTGGGTTAATTAAGTGTTTTGTCTATAAATTGCTAAGGGTCCAGAAGTTTGAATTTCTGGTATTTTTTTTTTTTTAATTCAGGGTTATCATTACTCACCAAACTCATTCAAGTGTTGACATCTATAGTCAAACATAGCAGTTGTTTAAATTATCAGCAAGTATCCTTCTCAATGCTGTTTGTGAGTTATCATTTAAAAAGTTCATCAGAACATGTTTAAAAATTAATGCATTAATCAAGTGTTTTTTAATTTCATTCATTCACATCCTACCCTATGTTTCTTACCATCACCTTGTACCACTTGCCCTATTTCTATTTATTTTTCCTTCCATTTAAGTGGTCTTTTTTAATTTAAATACCTTACACATTGATGATCTGAATTTTAAAAAAGTTTAAATTCCTACTTTAGCCTCATGTTAAGAAATATTTATCATGTTTCCTTTTTAAAACAATTAGTTAATATTTCAGAGGTATCTGAAAAAATTAATAACACACTGGACATTAGGAAAGAATTGGGATTTTGGTGAGTACCTGGGAATGAATTATGCTAGATTTGACTTCCTTTTTGATATAATTGGTAATAAACATTAAAACAGTCTGGACATGTGGGCTCATCTGTGGTCCCAGCTTACTCAGGAGGCCTGAGATGGAGGATTGCATGAGCCCCAGGAAGTTGGAGTCCACCTTGTTACATAGTGAGACCCCCATCATTAAAAATAAATCAAAATTTCTTAACCCAACCATAGATTAAAAAAAACAGTAGAGATTGTGTTATCTAATAAAGAATAACCGTTACATTGCTAAGGTAATGCTACTATTATAGCAGATAAGCCGTGCAACTCTCAGTGAGGACTTTAACAGATACAAGTTTCTTTTTCATGCGTAAGTAACGCCCTAAATACCCAGTTGGATCAGGGTGGTGATGGAGCCATATTGCTCATTTCTTGAAATTGTTAGAGATTTCACCTAATTGTATAATGCTGACATCTTCAATACATACTTTCCAAGGTAACTGAGGTGCTGAATACCTACTTGGTTAAGTGGGAGGGAAAAAAAGGAAGTGAATGCATAGAGAGTCAGCAGGAAGCTTTTTGATGAGAGCTGGAATGGCATATAAACTTATTTCTTCCATTCATTGTGAAGCATTGACCTGTTCACAGCAAGGGCTAGGCAAAATGTGATCTGATGTGTGCCTATGAAGAAGGAATGGTCCTTTGAACAAGAAGCCAGTTCTCTCTCGTAGGTCAGTGAGTTATTCTTTCTCCTGGCTATTAAACCCTTATTAGCTTTATAAATTAACTAATCCCTTTGGACTTTCAATTGGTTCAGTGGCTTTCAGCAGTTCATTCCTGCGAAAGTTACCCATTCCCCGTTCCTGAAGTGGAAACTTGGTGAGGCTAAGAAGTCAGAAAAGAAGGACAGCCCCTTGAGTAACATGGTATTTACGATGGGCAATCCGTTTGCCTAGAAGGAATCCAAAATTTGGCTTCCAAGCACCATAGTTCATACACAGATGAAATGCAAAATCTGGACTGGTAAGTTTCATTTTAAGTTGGCCAATACCATCTTGTGTTTGGATAAAATTATAAAACGTAAGAGATTAGAAAGGAGGACTGATACCACTTGCACATGCTAAGTAAGGGAAGAAGGGCAGCAGCAAAGATGGGTGGTAATTGCCCAAGAGTGAAGGAAGAGCTGCCAAAGGAGGGGAAAGACAAAGACAGAGACAAGACAGAGAGAGACAACCTGGAAGACAAGCTCCCATAGTACCAGTGGACCGAACGGCTTTAAGCCTGGATCATAGCTGAACAGTCCAGGCGGTTTACCCAGCTACCTTCTTGGCCTGGAAAATACCTAAGTCCTCACTTTACACAGCGGGGATGCAAAAACTTGCCTTTGGAACCCTGGACCCAACACTAAACACGTGGAAAATAGACCAAGCCATCATGCTAAAGGATTCTGTGTCATTAACTTGTTCCCATGCCCTAGAATCAACAAATTTATTTGTGACTCAGTATTGTTGCTTTAGATTTAGCCTAATGTCGGCTTGTTTTATTCCTTAAAATATCTGTTTTGAAGCCTTTGTAGGATATTGTTGGAAACTTAAATATCTCTTTAGTTAATGAAATCTTAAAATATTTTTGCTTTTTCATCTGTTGATTTTAGGAATAAGGTGTGGAAGCTAAAAAAAGGGTCATTAAGCTTGGAGCTTTTTTTCCCTTTCAGTCGATATTATCCACATCAGTTTGAAGGTCTACCTGCCAGCACTGTGAAACACATACTGCAGCCATTATCAAAAACTGCAGGCATAGTAAATATAAATAAAATTTCAAGGATTTAAGGAGGGTACAGTGGTACCGTTTTGTTCCTTTCAAATCTACAAATAAAATAACAAATAGAAACTTAGAATTTTTCTTGATAATAATAGAGCCATTCATAACACTTTTACAATAAGGCATACAAATGGTGTTGGCCCTCCGTGAATAACTTCAGGGCTTTGGCTTTCAGCAGTCAGCAGCGCAGTCAGCAGGTCAGTTGGAATTTACACCGAGCACTGGGCAGAAAACTGCCCCATTCAACTTTGCCTTATTTATTTCAAATTATTTTTTCTCAGAGCAGTGAAATAAAAGCCAAGGCAAGTCTTGAATGATATAGATTCACTTTCTCATAATCTCACCCCTTGAAATTATCTATGTAAAGAAATTGCCTGGGTTGAATTAAGATAATTTTGTGAGACATGACCAGGAAAGACAAGACTTCCAGTGTTGGATGCCAATGACCTTCCTTTTTAATACCAAGTATAATGTGCTGGAAGATCATTTTGGGTTTAGTCTAACTTATTATTTGTATGTAACTTGGGCCATGAAGTTTCATGGTGAGTATTCTAAAAGCCCTTCTGTTGGCTTTTTTGGCGGGGGAGCTGAAAGAGATTCCATGGAGTGAAAACAATCAGGAAGGTTTCCCCTGTGCCACCACGCAGGGGTGAAGACAATGAGGAGGGTTCTTGTGGATGAGGTCACAGTGACTATGCAGTACTGAGATATACAGAAGGGGTAGGTATAGAAAGGATAGTTTCTGAGCACCCCTCTTACCTCTGTACTGGTCCTGGCAGGATTCTTTGGGGGTATCCAGGATGCTTCACCCTTTTCCCTGTCACTTCTCCCTTCCTCCTCCTTTCATTATCTTCCTTTCCTTTCTCCATTTTTTCTGCATTATTCTCCCAGAATACTCTCCAAGGGATAAACTCACTGTTAAAACCATCAACAAGAGTGGGAGGATAGTATTGGAGAGAGGAGGACGAAAAAAAACATAGAGGGGAAAGAAGACATTAGATATATAATATAAAATGAAACAACTTAGCTGGGTTAGATACATAGATAAGTCCCAGCTACTAGGGAGCTTGGGCGGAAAGAAGGCTTTGACCCGGAGTTTTGAGCTTCAGTGAACTTGTTGCGCCCTGCACCCAGCCTGGGGGACAAGTGAGACCCCAACTTCTTAAAAACATATGAAAGTCTATGTATCAAAGTCTTAGCTTTCAGTTGCTTTGGCAGAGGAGTCAAAAAAAGCAGGGTTAGATTTATAGTTTCAGAATTTTAAATTCATAGAACTGATAGATTTTATAACCTTATAACAGCACGAGTTTAAGGATTTCCAGGCCCTTACGCACTCCTGGTAGTAACCTGACTCTTAGAACCATTTCATTGGGTTTGCTTCCTGATGTATACTATTTGGGCTTAAGAAAGTTCATTGACCCTTTTACCACGAGAGATTCTTGCGGTTATAATATGTTTCATAGAAGTTGAAAGATTAAAACACTTATATACATGTTGATAAATTTTAAAATGCCCCAACCTTCCTAACCATAATTTCTTCTTGGTATCCACAAGAAAAGGAAAAAGAAGAAAATGAAACTCTCCCATATATTATTAAGCTTTCTTTGTCCAATTAAGCAGAAGTCTAGCTTATTTTCTCTTGAAGATCAATGGCAGATTTTTAATTCACAGTAGACATAAAGTTCCGGAGAAATATAAAGGATACACAACCTTAAGCTAAATTCAAGGGAGAAGGTTTTTTAGAAGTCTACTCTATAGGTGTATGCTTAAAAAATTATTTTTCTTCTACCAAATAAGCAATTTAACACTGGTTTTCCAAACTGGAAACACGGGAGAATATTCCTGTGAAGCCCCCGTATCTGTTGGGGATTTCGGCAGATTATGGGAAAGTGCAAGTAGGAGCCATGAATATTGAGAAAATGGTTTTTGCAATTAGAGGCACCAAGTTCTGTATTGGGGGATAGGAGGCGGGTTTAGAAAAAAGGTTCTTGAGCCACTTACGGAAAAACAGAAGAATATTAAAAATTAACTTGATATAATAGTTGCAAGAGCAAAAGAATGCTGCTTTTTAAATCCATTCCAAACAAGCAACTACTTAACATTATATTTAACATTTAATTTTATATCTCGTTTTTAATTTTCCTTCTGAATAACTTCCCTTTTAAACAAAGGTTAAAGTGGTTTTTGTTTTTTTGTTTTTTTTTCTGAGAAGTGAGGTCTCCTTGGTTGCCCAGGCTAGAGTGGAAGTGCCGCTGGCAATCAGCCTCGCTCACAGCAACCTTCAAACTCCTGGCTCTAAGCGCAATCCTGCTGCCTGGCCAGGCCTCCTGAGTAGCTTGGGACTACAGGAATGTGCCACCATGCCCGGCTAGAATTTTTGTTCTATATACTATGTATTGGCCAATTAATTTCTTTTATTGTTAGTAGAAGACGGGTCTGGCTCTTGCTCAGGGCTGGTTTCGAACTCCTTGGACCTTGGAGCAATCCCCGCCTCGCCACTTTAGTAGAATAAGTTCCAGCTATATTCAGGAATATACAAGAGGTGCTATATCACCATTGTTTCTTAAAGCTGAGTAGTATTCCATGGTATACATATACCACATTTTATTAATCCACTCATGAAAATTTACAATCTCCCCTCTGGTTCTTATCTGTCAAGATTAAGACCATAAGCTGCAAGGTGCTAATAGCACAACTATCTTCACTTAAATTCTCTACAGTTGCCAGTCTGGCACCCACACATTACACAAAACACTATTTCAGTGTTTTAATTCTATACACATTACCATCAAAAACTAACCAAAAGGATCCTTTTAAGAACTCCCCTTTCCCCAACCTTTTCTTCTGTGACAGTGGGCCACTGTATAATGTGGGCCACCACGCATACAGTTACCATTCCAGCCAATTAAACCAGGCTGTCCGCTGTTTGTTGAAGACATGAATATTTTTACAAAGGTAATAGAAAGGGGATGAGGCAGGCATTTGAATTGAATTGTTTAAAATAAAATATGGAAACATAAAGCTGAATGTTCTTTTTTTGAATATTCTAAAAAAAATGTCCTTCTACAAAAAGAAATTTAAACTAACAGCATATATATATATATATATATATACTTTCTAGATTTTTAAAATTGAATTTTTAAATAAGGAAATAAATGCTTTGGTTATTAAATGAGGTGGCTTGAGAAAGGTATTACACAGAAAGTTACTTGCATGATTACTAACATCCGTGTCTTCTTTTTCTAAAAGGTGATTTTAAAAATCGAGCTGAGATGATAGGTTTCAACATACGGATCAGAAATGTTACAAGGAATGATGCCGGAAAATATCGTTGTGAAGTTAGTGCCCCATCTGAGCAAGGCCAAAACCTGGAAGAGGACACGGTCACTCTAGAAGTGCTAGGTGATGTGCCTGTGTGTGTGTGTGTGACTTCTGTCCCCAGCCTCATCCCAATCCCCAGCCCTGGGGGGCTAATTTATTATCACAGCATATCTCTTTGTTTAAAATGGAGGTAATTCGACATGGTTTTGTTTGTTGCATTGAAGATGGAGAGGACCAAGTAACAAGGAATGTGGGTGGCCTATAGGAGTTGAGCGTGGCTCCCAGCTGATAGCCAGCATGGAACAGGGACCTCAGTCCTACAACTGTAAGAACTAGTATCTGCCAACACCCAGAATGGACTTAGAAATAGATTTTCCCCAGAGCCTCCAGATGAGAACTCAGTGCAGCCAACACCTTGATTTCAGACAGGGTTTTGCTGTGTTGCCAAGGTTGGACTTGAACTCCCGGGCTCAGGCGATCCTCCTGCCACAGTCTCGTAATGATTCTACACTGTACGTAGGAGCATCTTTCCCAAGAGTGTATTTTTCAATAGCTTTCAGCATATGTACTGTTTCTCCTATCATATAAAAAGATATCACATGAGACAATAGAAAAGCAATAAAATTTTAAAAAGTAGTCCCAGGAAAGGATTACAACTTATTTGGTAAAGAAAGGAAATTAGCATTTATTGTGTAGCCAATATGTAATCACAAATGTAATTTTACTTAGTCTTCACTGACAACCTGGTTTTAACAGATGAAGAAATAGAGGTTAAATTATTTTTCCAAGGCTACACAGGTAGAAAGTGTCTGGACTAAGATTTGGATCCAGATAGGGTTAACTCCAAAGCCAGTGTATTTAGTTACTGTAAGAATCACTGATAGATATTAACAGCTCATGGCTGCAGTTAGTGGAAGAACATGATCTCTTATACTTTATTGGTGTTAGTATAAGTTACCAAGCAAAGAGAACAAAGTGGCTCCTCTTCTTTTTTTATGTTGTCCAGATTCTTTCTGAAATACTAGTGATGTGCTAGTATGAAGTTCGGAAAGCTTTGTAGCAGATTCAGTTGGTTTGTTCGTTTTCTCCTGTTGCGTAACAAATTATCACAAATTTAACAGCTTCAAAGAACACCGATTCACTGGCTCATATTTCTATGGAGCAGAAGTCCAGCAACAACAAGATGGGGTTCTCTGCCCAGGGTAACATAAAGCTGAAATCAAGGTATTGGCTGGGCTGAGTTCCAGGCTGGATGCTCTGGGGAAAGTCTGTTTCCAAGATAATTCTTGGTGTTGGCAGATACCTGTGGTCGTAGGTCCCTGTTCAGAGAAAACTCTCTGTTTTTAAAGTCATGTGATTAGGTCAGACCCATCCATGAAATCTCTCTATCTTAAAGACAATGGACGTGAGACCTTAATTACATTTCCAAAATCCCTTCACAGTAGTGCCTAGATTAGTCTTTAATTGAATAACTGAGAGAAAATATACATCTACCAAGGATGGCAGTCTTGGAGGACCATCTTAGAATTCTGCCTATCTCAGCCAGTTCTGGCTGTTCCTGGATATTAGGCCACCTAGTAAAGTCTGTTTTACTTTCCAAATTCCTGACAATCATAATAACCCTATTTCTTGGAATGGGTATTTTCTAAGTTGGCTACTTCTAGACTCGAGATTTTGGTTGAGTACTGGGAATGAAAACTATACTTAGATTTGACTTCTTTTGAATATAATTGGTAATAAACATTAAAATCAGTTGGACATAGTGGCTCACATCTGTTGTCCCAGCTACTCAGGAGGCTGAGATGGGAGGATTGCTTGAGCCCAGGAGTTGGAGTCAACCTTGTTAACATAGTGAGACCCCCATAATTAAAATAAAATAAAAAATTTTCTTAACCCAACCATAGATAAAAAAAAAACAGTAGAGATTGTTTATCTAATAAAGAATAACCGTTACATTAGCTAAGGTAATGCTTACTATTATAGCAGATAAGCCCGTGAACTCTCAGTGAGTGACTTAACATGATAAAAGTTTCTTTTTCATGTAAGTAAAGCCTAAATAGTTGGATCAGGGCTGGTGATGGAGCCATATTGCTCCATTTCTTGAAATTGTTAGAGATTCAGCCTAATGTATATCTGACATCTTCAATACATGACTTTCCAAGGTCACTGACGGTGCTGATACCTACTTGGTAGTGGGAGGGAACAAAGGAAGTGAATGCATAGAGAGTCATGCAGGAAGCTTTTATGAGTCAGGCCTGGAAATGGCATATACAACTTTTCTTCACATTCCATTGTTGAAGCATGTGACCCTGTCTCACAGCAAGGGGGCTGGCAAATGTGATCTGCTGTGTGCCCATGAAGAAAGGAAATGGGTCTGTTGAACAAGAAGCCAGTCTCTCTCGTAGGGGTCCAGTGAGTACATCTTTCTCTGGCTATTAAAACCCTTTATTAGCTTATAAATAACTAATCCCCTTTGACTTCCATTGTTCAGTGGCTCCAGCAGTTCCATCCTGCGAAGTACCCACTTCCGTTCTGAGTGGAACTGTGGTAGAGCTAAGATGTCAAGACAAAGAAGGGAACCCAGCCCCTGAGTACACATGGTTTAAGGATGGCATCCGTTTGCTAGAGAATCCAAAACTTGGCTCCCAAAGCACCAATAGTTCATACACAGTGAATGCAAAATCTGGAACTCTGGTAAGTTCATTTTAAGTATTGGCCAATACCTAGCTTGTGTTTGGATAAAAAAGTATTAAAACGTAAGATGATGTAGAACAGAGGACTGATACCACTGCATGCTAAGTAGAGGGAAGAAGGGGTAGCAGCAAAGATGGTGGTACTTGCCCCAAGAAGTGAAGGAAAGAGCTGCCACAGGAGAGGGGAAGACAAGACAGAGACAAGACAGAGACAGAGACAAGCTTGAAGACAAGCTCAGCACATAGTACCAGTGACCTGAAGCAGGCTAAGCCTGATTCATAGTGACAGTCCGGGCGGTTTACCACAGCTACCTTCCTGGCCTGGAAAATTACTAAGTCTCAACTTACAACAGCGGGGAAATGCACAAAAACTTGCTTGGGGATACCCTGGACCCAACACTAACCACGTGGAAATAGTAACCATAGCCAGTCATGCTAGGATGTCTGTGTCATTAAACTTTTCCATGCCTCTAGATCAACAACAATTTATTCTGTGACTCAAGTATCTGTTGCTTTAGATTTAGCCTAGATGGTCGGCTTGTTTCTTCCTTTAAAATATTCTGTTTGAAAGCCTTTGTAGGAATATTGATGGAAACCTTAAATATGCTCTTTAAAGTTAATGACATCTTAAAAACTATTTTTGCTTTTTCATCTGTGACTTTTCAGGATAGAGGTGGAATGAAAGCTAAAAAAAAAAAAGGTTATTAAGCTTGAAGCTTTTTTCCCCCTTTCAGTCGATATAATATCACACATCAGTTTTGAAGGTCTACCTGCCAGCACTGTGAAATCACTACTGCAGCCATTATCAAAAAATCTTGCAGGCATAGTAATAATAATAACAATAACAATTTCAAGGAATTTTGAAAGGAGGGTACAGTGTTACCTTTTGTTCCTTCAATCTACAAATACACAATAACAATTAGAAACTAGATTTTCTGATAAATAATAAAGCCAATTCATAAAGCACCTTTACAATAAGGCATACCAAATGGTGTGGCCACTCCATGAGTACTTCAGGGCTTTGGCTTCTCAGCAGTCAGCAGGCGCAGTCAGCAGGTCCCAGCGATTTTACACCGAGCAACTGGGCAGAAAACCTGCCATCACACTTTGCTATATTTATTTTCAAATTTATTTTTTTCTCAGAGCAGGTGATAAAAAGCCCCAAGGCAAGTCTGAATGATATAGATTCACTTTCCTCACTTAATCTCAACCCTTGAATTATCTTGTAATGTCAAAGAAATATGCCTGGGTTGAATTAAGATGAGTTCTTTTGTGAGACATGAACCAGAGACAAAGACTCCAGTGTATGGATGCCAATGACTTCCTTTTAATTACCAATTATAATGTGCTGGAAGATCATTTTGGGTTTTAGTCTAACTTATTATTTGTATGTAACCTTGGCCCTGAGTTCATGGTGAGTATTCTAAAAGCCTTCTGTGGCTTTTGGGGGGAGTGAGAGATTCCATGGAGTGAAAACAAATCAGGAAAGGTTTCCTGTGCCACCACGCAGGGCTGAAGACAATGAGGAGGTTCTTGTGGATGAGGTCAGCAGTGACTATTGCAGTACTGAAGATATGACCAGAAGGGGTATGGTATAGAAAGGATAGTTAGTTCTGAGCACCCCTCTTACCTCTGTACTGGTCCTGGCAGGATTCTTTGGGGTATCCAGGATTGCATTCCCTTTCCCTCCCTCTCTCCCTTCCTCACTCCCTTTCTTCTTTCTTCCTTTCCTCCTTTCCTCCATTTTTGTCTGCATTCATTCCTTCGAGATACTCTCCGAGGGAATAAAACTACTGTTAAAAATCCTCCAGAGGTGGGAGGATGGTTTGAGGCCAGGAGCGAAAAACCACCCTGGGAAACAGAGAGAGACATTGTTTCTACTAAAAATGAACAACTTAGCTGGGTGTGGTGGCACACACCTGTAGTCCCAGCTACTAGGGAGGCTGAGGCGGGAAGAAGGCTTGAGCCCAGGAGTTTGAGGCTGCAGTGAACTATGATTGCGCCACTGCACCCCAGCCTGGGTGACAGAGTGAGACCCCAACTCTTAAAAAACATTATGAAGTCTATGATATCAAAGTCTTAGCTTTCAGTTGCTTTGGCAGGGAATCAAAAAAGCAAGGGTTAGACTTTATAGTTTCAGAATTTTTTAAAGTTCTAGAACGGATAGAATTTATAACCCTATAAACAACACGAGTTAAGATTTCCCAAGGCCCTACGCTACTCCCTGGTAGTAACTCTGACTCTTTAGAGGACATCTTCATTGTTTGCTCCTGCTGTATACTATTTTGGGACTTAAGAAAGTTCATTAACCCTTTTACCAGAGAGATCTTCGGTTATAAATAGTGTTTCACAGGAATTAGAAAGACCTAAACCACTTAATACTACCATGTGCTATAAACTTTAAAAAATGCCCACACCCTTCCTAACCATATTTCTTTCTTGGTATCACAAGAAAAAGGAAAAAGAAGAAAAATGAAACTTTCCCATATATATTTAAGTCTTTCTTTGTCAAATTAAGCAGAAGGTCTAGCTATTTACTCCTTGAAGTCATGGCAGATTTTTAAATTCACAGTAAGGATATAAAGTCCCGAGACATTATAAAGGAAATACCAACTTAATGCTAAAATTCAAAGGAGAGGGGTTTTTTTTTTTAGAAGTCTACTTATAGGTTTATGGCTTAAAAATATATTTTTTTCCTTCTACAAATAGCAATTTAACACTGTTTCCAAACTGGACACTGGAGAATATTCCTGTGAAGCCCGTAATCCTGTTGGATATCGCAGAGCCGCTTTAATAACTGGGACGAATGCAAGTAGGGTGTGAAAGGTAAGCGATGAGAGATATTGGAGGGGAACAATATGGTTTGCAATTTAGGAGCATGATGCACATACTGGATGATTGGGTAGCGTAGAAGGAGCAAGGGGTAGAAAAAAGTCTGAGCGACTTTACGGAAAAAAAAAAAAAAAAAAAAACAGAGAGAGAGGAAGAAAAAACAGGAGGAGAATGTTTAAAATTTACTTGATATAATAGGTTGGCAAAGACAGCCAAGGATGGCTGCTTTTTACTCCCTATTTCCCAACAAAGCAAAATTATTCACCATTATATTTAACAATTTTTAAATAAACATATCATGTTTAACAAGTATGTCTTTCTGAATAATCTTCCTTTCAAACAAAGGTTTAGTGTTTTTTTTTTTGTTTTTTGTTTTTTTTTTTGGAGACACTGAGTCTCACTTGTTAGCCCAGGCTTTTTAAGAGTGAGCTGACCTGGGCGTCAGCCCCCCTTTGTCCCCCCTCACAGCAAACTCAATCTTCCTGGGCTTTCAAGCAATCCTGCTTGCTTCAGCCTCCTGAGTAGCTGGGGACTAAGCGCATGCGGCACCAATGGCCCGGGCTAATTTTTTTTTTCTATATTATATTAGTTGGGCCAATTAATTTTTTCCTATTTATAGTTAGAGAACGGTCTGGCTCTTGCTCAGGCTGGGTTTTTGAACTCCTTGGGACCTTTGGACGCAATACCGCCCGCTCGGCCTCCAGAGATGCTAGGATTACAGGCGTGATCCCACGCGCTGGCTGGGTTAATTAAGATGTTTGTCTATAAATTGCTGCAGGGTCCAGAAGTTTTGAATTTCTGGTATCTTTTTTTTTTAATTCAGGGGTTATCTATTACTCACCAAACTATTCAAGTGTTGACATCTATAGTCCAAACATAGCAGATTGTTTAAATTATCAGCAAGTATCTTGCTCAATGCTGGTTTGTGAGTTTATCATTTAAAAAGTTCCATCAGAACATGTTTACAACATTAAGCATTAAATCAAGTGTTTTTTAATTTCATTCATTCACCATCCTACCCTATTTTCTTACCATCACCTGTACACTGCCGCTATTTCTATTTATTTATTTTTCACCTTCCAATTTAAGGTCTTGGTTTAATTTAAACTACCTCTACACATTGATGATCTGAATTTAAAAAAGTTTAAATTCCTACTTTAGCATCATTTAAGAAATATTTATCATGTTTTCCTTTTTAAAACATTATTAATAAAATCTTTTTTCAGAGGTATCTGGAAAAAATTAATAACACACTGGACATTAGGAAGAATTTTGAGAATTATGATAAGCGGTCTCACTTAAATAGTATTTCTAAAAAGATCTTTCCCAAAATGTACACTGCTTTAAAATATTTAAAATTATTGGGAATGATAGTGGATCATAAAGAAAATAAAAAAAATAAATAAAAAAAAAAAAATTAGGTCCGGAGTGGGTCGGCTCACCCTATAATCCTAGACGTCTGGGAAGGGCCTGAGGATGGTCGGATCGCTACAAGGCTCACGGAGTCTCGCAGAGACTCAGCATCGAGCAAGAGGAGACCCGGTCTTACTATTAACATAGAAAGAAATTAAATGGGGCCAACTAAAAAGTATATAGTAAAAAATTAGCCAGGCAATGGTGGCACATAACTGGTAGTCCCAGCTACTCGGGAGGCTGGGAAGCAGAAGGATTGCATTGAGACCCAAGAGTCTGGTGAGGTTTGCTGTGAGCTAGGCTGCCACCATCGGCACTCTAAGGCCCAGGGCAACACAGTGAGACTCTGACTCGAAAATAAATAAATAAAATACAATAAAATGTTTAAAATTACTGTTGAGAAAAATACTTCCTAATATTTTCTCCAAGTTATTTAATCATATGCTAACTAGTATTTGCTTTTAAAAATGGGAACTCTTAGAAGAATTGCTCCTCTAATAAATACAAAGGAAGTATCTAAATGACAGAAGACTGTGGCTCATGAAATCCTTGTGGACAAGATGGAGAGATGTGGTCCAAATAATGTTTACATGGAACCACATGTAGCTGAATCCCGTATTCAGAATATGCCAATAAACTGTGTTGTATGAAGGATGGTGTCCATGAGCCTGTTACAAAGTTCTTTCCTAAACAAAGTCATACTCATCATTTTGTTAATGACTCGAATGAAAGTTTTTTTAATATAGTTCTCAATTTGCAGAAATGTTAAGCATAGAAGGTTAATAATCTAATTATTAGGCAACAAAATCAATCCCCAGAAAAGTTGGTAACATAGTAGTCATTCCAAACTTGAATCCAAAAAAATCCACTAGTATTAGGTTAGAGGACAGATGACTTAATAGCAACAGGAAAAAGCCTCAAAGAGTTTAATTAATTTAAAATTTAGTGGAATGACAATTTAGTGGCATGTTTGTATGTGGTCATGTATGTGTGTATATGTACACACATACACCTTTCTGTATAAATACAAGAAGGAAGGTGTTTCTGACAGTTTTACAGAATAACTGGCATGTTTTCTATGAGGCTGAATTTTTCATTATTTGTAAAATTGACACAGATGATGATATGGAAGACTTTCAAGTAACATTTGGGGTGAGGGTGGCAGTGGAATACTTGAACTCATTGAATTTCAAAGATTTTTCCAGCCTGATATCTAACACTGTGAATTATTATGTATCTCTAAATGAATGCAAGAGAATACCATACATTTTATATCTGGATTATATAATATATAATATATATAGAACTTTTTAAAATTTAATATTCTTGCAAAGCTTAAGTTCTGTTAATATTTTGAATCAATTTTGAACCATGTCCTGGAATCAAGTCAATTGAACAGGCTTCAAAAGCATGAAACTATGCTTCATGGTATAGCTGCAAATGGGAGCCTGTTTGAAACTTTTCAATTTAATTATTGCATCTGTTCCTCTATTTAAATGAATTTTTGTGTGGTTTATTTCACACTGCAGATGATCTCAACATAAGTGGCATCATAGCAGCCGTAGTAGTTGTGGTCTTAGTGATTACCGTTTGTGGCCTTGGTGTGTGCTATGCTCAGAGAAAAGGCTATTTTTCAAGTAAGTAAGTTTTACCCTTCTTTACTAGACAACTTCCTATGGATATACAGTTTTCTTATAAGACACTGTTTTCCTCAAGAAGGTCTAACAAACTCTGGAGAATATTTTTCATTCATTTTTCTGCTGTCAAAAATTTCCAAGATGAGTTATGAAGCACCTGAGCAAACCTAGGGAGAAAAGGCAAAACTGCTTCATTGCAAAATTCTAGGGAACACCACAGAATATGTGAGAGGCATCCTTGGAGTGGCACAGTGCAATGAGACAGAGATAATTAATGTAGATGGATATTTATGGTGTATGTAAATATATAGATATTTACATAGATATGTAAATATATATGTAAATATATAAATATAGATATTTACATATATATGTAAATATATATGTAAATATATAAATATATTAGAGATCCCTTTAAATTAGAAATTATATATCCCAAGATATAAATTGATAACTGTATTAAACTTTCATTGAAATAATAAGTGAAACGTTTTATCAGGGTAGAATATTGAATATCAAATTTAGCACAACTATATTTAGAAGAGAATTGTTCAGTCAAAACTATTAGAGTTGCTTCTGTACAAGGTTTTTAGTTCTTCAAGTTTCGACCTTTTATAACTTCCAACCCCCATTTGATGATGCAAGGTGTTTGATGTAAATGGGTGAGATTAAAAATTAATGTTTTATTTTCTTAATGCATTTCTTCACTCCCAGTCTTTCAAATTATCTGAAAGCTAAAAGCTGCAGAACCCCATAAGGTCCACTGGCCATAGTGTATAAAGTAGAATTTTTTAGTGGAACAATAAATAAATTTATAGCATGAACAAGTTTTATTTATTTATTTTTTTTTGTTTTTTTTTTTTTTAGTGCTTTCGTAGCTGAGCTAGTATGAACAAGTTTTAGACCTGTTGTTTTACAATGAACTTTAATTTTAGAATTTAGGTTAAAAATATTTTACATCAAAATAAAACTTAAATTTAAAAGGAGTTACCTATAAATAGCTATTCTGTATCATAAAATGTTTCCATGAACCTAGATTCAAGGAGATTCTCTATAATTAAGAATAACTGCTCTGTGAATTAATACTTGTATATAGGGCTTCAATTTAGTCCATTGTAACATAATTTTATGAATGGAATCCAACTGTGTCCCCCTGCTGGGCACCGGCGAAAGTACAGACAGATAAGATTATTCATTCAAAATTCTTGTCATCTTTATCTATACTTGCAAAGAATACATGTCTGAGTATTTTCAATGAGGAGTTGGCAAATTTCTAAATTAGTCTATTTGGATATTAGGAGTTTGTTAGCTAAGAATGCTATTCCCATCTTCATCTGGCAGAAAGTCTATGCAATAGAACTATATTCTTGAATTTGCATTTAGAACAAGGGTCAGCAAACTATTAATGTATCTTCTGATCCAAACTCCCCACCCCTCCATCACCACCTGTTTTTCTATGTTCCATGAGCTAAAAATGGCTTTTACAGATGAAAGTTTACAATTTGTTTGATGATAGAGAATACTAACTTTGAACCTGAATTAAGAGAAGTGTTATTCCCCAAAAAAGAATTCTGTTTTCTAACCAGTAGACTTATTAGACTTTGATTATTATTCTTATATTTTGAATTTCATCAATAAAAATTTTAGAAATTTGTTTTCTCTCATTATGTAAGTACCTACATAGTATCCTTGATTTTGTCTCTTAGCCCACAAAGCCTAAAATATTTGCTGTCTGGCCATTTACAGAAAAAGTTCACTATCTCTTGACTCAGAAAGTATAGATCTCAGAAACTAAGGGTCAAGAGTAATAAAAAGAAATTAAGCCAAAAGTCACTTTTATGTGAATCTGTATCATACCATGTTAACTTTTATATTAATGACATATATTTATTCTTTTGTAGAAGAAGCCTCCTTCCAGTAAGTATACCTCTTTACAATGCATATCTTTTCCCCTCTATCAACTAATTTTCTATTAATGATCTGTTTAACGTCAAAAGTGGAAAGTTGGGTTCTTTGACTAGGTTTAATCCTATAGAAAGTTACTCCACTTCATCAAGAAATCCCATCTCTTAATCTCATTCCTCATATCCACTTGTAAATGATTATCTGGGTAAGAAATATGCTCACCATTTTGACATCATAGACATTTCCATAGTACTAATTTTAAAAACCATATTTACTGTATTTTGCTAAATGGAAAATTTTCAAGTAAAATTTTACTCAACAGTTCTTTTTAACATAATTTAATACTGATTTTGTGCCCAACACTATTTTAAGGACTGGAGATACAGCAGCGAACAAAACAGACCAAAAAACAAAACAAAACAAAACACAACCAAACCCTGTCTTGTGGGGTGGGCTTACATCCTAGCAGAGAAAGGCAGGAAGTAAACAAAGATATATTCTATGTAGTATGTTAGATGATAAGTTTTATAGGAAAATAGAGCAGATAAGAGAACAGGGAATACACAGAGCAAGAATGGAAATTGTCATTTTAAACAGGGTGGTCAGGAGGGTCTCGCTGTTGATGGGATGTTTGAGGAAGATCTGGTGGTGAAGAAGCAAATCGTGCAGATATCCATGAGAAGAGTGTTGAGGCAGAGGAGAGAGAACAAATGGAAAAAGCTTGATGCTGGGCATATCTGGAGTATCTGAGGGACATCCAGGAGAAACTGAGAAAGGAGGCAAGTACACAGAAGTCACAGGGGCCACATCGAATGGAGTCCCTTCCCGGCAGTTGTGAGAAGCCCGGCTTTAGCTATGAGTAAGATAGGAAGTCACTGGAAGGCTTTGAGAAGAGGAGTAGCATCATCTTACTCAATTCTTCAAAGCTCACACTGGCTACTGTGTTAAGAATAAACTACAAGGCGATAAAGGGTAGAAGCAAGGAGATCAGGTAGGAAGCTGCTGCAGTAACCGGGGCAAGAGAAAATGGTGGCTGGTACCAAAGTGTCAGTGATAGGATCCTGGATGTATTTTTTTTTAACAACTTGATAATCTACTGGACGTGGGCTGTGAGAGAGAGAGAGAGAGAAAAAAAAAAAATCAAAGATGGCCTCGAGGTTAAGAGAAGGATGGAGTTATTGTTTATGGAAGTGTGGAAAATTTTAGAAGAGAGAGTTTGGGAGCAGTAGTGGGGGTAGGTGGAGAGGTCTGGAGTGTTTGGTTTTTAATATTTGAGATGCTTATTAGATTCCAAATGGAGATAATCAGTAACTGAATATACAAACCTGGAGCTTGGGGGAATTACTGGAAATGTAGGAGTCATTGGTGCACGAGATCTGGATGAGATCACCAAAGCCCCCAGTTTGTGGGCACATATTTTGTGACTGTCCTTCTTATTTGTGACTGTCCTTCTTATATGTCCTTCTTATATGTAAGGACATAAAAGACCCAACTTTGGGTCTGTGGGCATTCCTTTCTACTCCAGCTCCCACGGCTTTAGGTAGTTTTGTCATCTCCTAAGTCCTCTGAAGACTTAGCTGCTCTTGATTTCCTATCCCCAGACTTCTGGCTCAACTCTGGTCTCTCAGTCTCATAATATCTCAGTACTAGTCCATGTTCACATTATCAGGACTAACATCAACAAAGAGGGTGAGTCCTGTACAGCAAGGTAGCCTGCATATGTTGCCACTTCCCCTAACTCTCATCCTCTAGGTGATGGTGAGGACTTCGCTTTTATTGAGTAATGTGGAAAGTAATTGGAGGGTTTTGAGCATAGGCAAGAGATCACCTTACATAAGCAGAAGGGTTAGCAGGGCTGTGGTGAAGGAGGTTGTTCTTCCTTCTATCAATATCTCTGTCAAATCAGGTAGTGGTAATCTGGGAGGGAGTATCTTTATTCCTAGACACATTTCCTCCCATTTATTGAATCTGTAGCCTTCAAAATGTGTTGAACGATGAAATGGATGACTAGAACCCCGGTCACCATGTAAAACTTTCTTTCCATGGGAAGTTAAAAGCTAATAAGCCTCTGGCTTGTAAATGCCACAAAAATCTTTTGTATACCAGCTCTAGGCTACATTTATATGCACAGGGCTTCACACACTGATATTTTGTCACCTGGCTTTCTCTGTGAATATTGTCTCTCTATATAGGAAATTCACTTAGAATTTTTGGCTTTTTGCCTACCTGGCTAACACAAATGTTCATGTTCTTGCTGGGAAAATGTATTGGATAAGATCAACCAAAAGAAGGTATGTGTTTCAGGATTGGAAGTGATGATGTACTAAATATTGTCTTTTATATTCCACAAACAGGAAGAGTAGTTCTGCATTGAAAGCCACTACAATGAGTGAAAATGTGAGTTTTTAAAAGCATATTTATAGAATGGATGTTTTTAGGGAATAGGGCAGGGAAGTGAAGCAACTCTATGGAAGTTTTGAATTTTCACTTTTGTTCCCCCCTCACACCAACCATTTATCTTTTCTTTGTGTTGGGAACATTATAATTCTTCTTTTCTAGCTATTTAAAAATATACAATAAGTTATTATTAACTATAGTTTCTCTACTGTACTATGAAATGCTAGAACCTATTCCTTCTATCTAACTGTATTTTTGTACCTCTAATTTTCACTTTTAATACTCTTTTTTTTTTAAGAGATAGGGTCTTGCTTTGTCACTAAGGCAGGTGTGCAATGGCATGATCATGGCTCACTGAAGCCTTGAACTCCTGGACGCAAGCAAGCCTCCTGCCTCAGCCTCCCAAGCAGCTAGGACTACAGGCATATGACACCCTGCCCAGCTACTATTTGAAAGATATTTTGTAGAGATGGGATCTCTCTATGTTACCCAAACTGGTCTTGAACCCCTGGCCTCAAGTGATCCTCCCTCCTCTGCCTCCCAAGTACTGGGATTACAGACATGATTAATATACTTTGTGTCTATCACTGGTATTTAAAGGAGTTAAGTAAATGTTTGTTTCTTTTCCCTGTCTGGGATGGCATGATAAAGAAGCCTGGCATTTGTAGAGCAATTGTAGAGAAAGTGAACTTTATCATATCATTATTTTTTTCTCATGGTGTTTTCTATAATTAGCGTGCCTTCTTAGTATCACTAGGCCTGGCTCTATTAGATAGATGAGGAAATTAAGACACAAATTCACACAGAAAAACAGCTGCAGAGCTGGGACCTTTTGCTTCCTGATAGCTTGACCAAGCAGATTGTTTCCAGCAGTTCTGTGGTTCCAGGACTCACCTTTGCTTATTTGACACACTTGGAAAATTTTAGGACTATACAATGTCTTAGTCTTTGGGGGCTACAATAACCAATATACCATAAACTGGATAACTCATAAACAATAGAAATTTATTCTCAGAGGTCTGGAGACTGGAAAGTTCAAGATCAAGGTGCCAGTAGATTCAGTGAGGACCCATTCCTCATAGATGACACCTTGCTGTGTCCACACATAGTGGCTGGGCAAACAGGCTCTTTTATAAGGACACTAATTCCGTTCATGGAGGCTTTGCCCTCATGACATAATCACCTCCTAAAGGCCCCACCTCTTAATATTACTGCACTAGGGATTAGGTTTCAACATATGAATTGGGGGGGGCACAAACATTTAGACAAGAGCATAATTTTGCTATTATTGAAAGGAATATTTCAGAAATATTTGAAAAGATGCAATAATTACCTAACTCAGATGGTTTATGGAACGTAATTTAGACATTTGGACCCTTGTGCACTTTTATATTTGTAAACACCATAGTAAATCTGTTAATACCATCATCGCTCAGATTTTGTAGCTTTTTGAATGGATATTCAAACTTTTGGATTATTTTTTTAGGAATATATTAGGGGAAAGTATTTTTAGAGGCCTAAGTCCTGTCTTGAGAAATGCAGTGTGGGTTCTCAGAAACCCTTGATAATCTGTCGTGGGGATTCTCTTAGATTTCCTTTAAGTATAGCTTGGGGTGGGGTGTGAACATCAGTATTTTAAACACATAAGTGATTCCAACACACACTAGTGTTTAACACCCACTTACTGCTCAATAGAGTTTTTTTCTATTAAAATTTGATTCTTAAAAATTACTCCAGAAACTGTCTATCACAGAAGTCACCTTATTTTGTAGTCCACTATACTGAAAACATACTATTCTTTAATTATAGGGCAAGCAGTATGTAACTCTGTATTTGTTCCTACAGTTTATGGAAAGTACATCTGGCATGTGGAATTAAATAATCTCATCCCTCTTTACAGTAAATAGCACTTTGTGGATGAATGGAAAGAGCATAAAGCCTTTTACTTTTTCTTTGCTTTCCTCTCAGTTGCTCTTGTCAATCAAGAGACAAAGTCTTCTTTAATTCTATTTTGCTCTACAGCAGCAGGGTTTCTCAACCTCAGCACTATTGGCATTTTGGGGCATATAATTCTTTGTATTGAGGGGCTGTCCTGTTCATTGTAGGGTGGTTAGCAATAGCCCTGGCCTCCACCCACTAGATGCCAGGAGTATCCCCCTGAAAAACAAGATTTTTCTCACTTGAAATTCCAGTCCTACTTTACTCTCTGGGCAAAGTTTCAAAGTACCTTATCTGCTAGGATTTAGTTATTTAATTTTCCATAAAATAAATTTAATTAAATATATGTTGGTTTGTACCTCTAAGTTTCTTACAGTAGATATCGCTTGATATTCATAAGATTTATATTTCTTTAAATATGAATCAATGCATTATGCTCAAACTTGTTTTTTCTTTCTTTTCCTAGGATTTCAAGCACACAAAATCATTTATAATTTAAAAGATTCCACCTTCGAGATACACCAAAACCACAGTTGTTATAGAAGTCATTAAACTGTTATAAAACTCTGCTTTGTCTTACATTTGCAAAAAAAGTACATGAGGAAATGAAATTGGTATTTCATTATAATTTGTATGACTGCTAATTCACCTGAATTTGTTATTTTAAGCAAATAATTCTGTCAACACCTAAAATATAGTCTGGCTTCCGTTTCTGGACTGAGTTAAAAGAATCAAAATATTTTGTAATATTTTCTGGGTTTTGTGAAATGTTAACAATGTCCTAACTTCTAGAGAAGGTTACTAAAATATAGTGATTGTGAAGTTAATCCATAGAGCATGAAAATGTAAACTGCACACATCCTCCGTGCAAGAGTCTGACTTAGGGGATTCAGAGAATACTCTGACAGATGCAAAAGGAACCTCTGGTCTCATTTCTACTAGAATCCTCTTTTCTCCCCTAATATAATCCTTATTCCGCTGCTCATTTATCACTAATACATCCACAGAAGGGAGGAAGTGGGGGTAAGTCTTATGCCCAAGGATTTTTGGCACTTTGTGTTTACTTTCATTTCTGAGAACCAACAGCAACATGAAAAGAAATACCTAATGGCTGGAGCTCACAGGTGTGCACCATACGATTCACCTGTTGTGTGTCACTGCTTTCTTCATTAAACATAGTTTTGATGGTCAGACACAAATCCAAGAGACTCATTTCACCCTCAGAGCTGCTTTCTGCTGTTTCCTTCTTTGAAGAGGACCAGTGACCTTGACATCAAAACTCACCGTTGGATCCTATACAGTCTTGCAGTTAGTTACCTTTACCTGCATGAGTGGTGACTTCACATCTTTTTGTCTCTAAAAATTAGGCATTGAAATTCTGAGCAGGGCCAAGTCCCTTGGGGGTGGGGGTTGCCAATCCTGCTTTAGGGAAAGCAGGGATACAGAGGGAAGAAGTAGTTATCTACAAGGAAAATGAGATGAAAAAGCTCACTGTGAATCCCTGCATCTGGCACCCCTCTTGAGATATAGAGGGCACAGAAGAAATGGCTGAAATGACAAGTAAGTCTGATCATCTGGTTTCTCAGCTGATTAACCACAAAAAGCCTCCAGCTAGTGATACAATGTGAAAGTTCCAAGGATACATTTAATAGTAAGAGCGATTAGGCTATGTTTAAAAAGCATTGTCATTTTTAACTTATTTTGATTATTCAATTCATAATCAAAACAAAATATGGCTAGGGTACGTCCTGTTCTTCTGGACAAATCTGGAGGAAAAGGTCACTCTTAACATGGTGAAGCTATTTTCGAAGGAGTCTGCTCTTCCTACCCAATAGGCAAAGCAAATCTCCAGCATTCGCCGAACAAACAAATGGATTAAGTAGACACTGAGTGCGTAGCATGTGCCTAGACACCAAGTCACCGGGAAAATGCCCACTCCCCCTTTGACTTGTCTGTGGCATTCGTGGATTGTCTGTGGCATTTGTCTGTGGACTTCTCACTAGATCCCATCCTGAAGATCAGGCTTCTGTAACATGGCTGTGCCCCAAAGGCCAAATTATCACCACATTAGTCAGCAAATATCTTTGTAAAGTGCCAGATAGTAGATAAGCCATATGATTCCTGTTGCAACTACTGGACTCTGCCATTGTAGCACAAAAGCAGCCATAGAAAATAAGCAAATGGGCATGTCTGTGTTCCAATGAAACTATTTACAAAAACAGCAGGCATGGACAGGATTGGGTTCACAGGCATGGTTTCCCAACTCATGGTGGTGAAGGATGGAAAAAAATACCTGTCTACAAGCTTTTGTAAGAAATACGCTAAATATTGCCTATGCTTTGATTGGAAGATATGCGTCGGTTGTAGGAATGCTTTTCCTCTTGCATTGGCAAATGCCTATGTGATTCTCGAAGATGCCTCTTCAGACATACCTATCATCACACAAGATCAACTTCTTCAACTTAAACCACACAAATTCATATTGGTGTGTGTGTGTGGGGGGGGAATATGTAGTGCCTTAGCTTCGCTAATAGATGAAAAGCTTATTTTTTCAGACATGAAAGGCTAGCCGATTCATTTTATGCATCTAACACTCTCTTTGTGTCATATTACACATTATCTTAAAAATATTGTATACAGCTAAGTAAAAATCATTGTATAAAGTATGCTTTCTCCCACACAAAGAACATAATATTGAGTACTAATTTTCTAATTATTAAAAGTATACCTGTGGGTCACTGGTGTCTAGACTTGTGTCTCCATTTGCTTTTACTTGAGGGAAGTGGACACTAAACAGCTGGTACAATCCCATTGTTATTCTGAGAGCATTTTATTTTCTTGCAGTGAAATTGTGTTGTACAAAGATTAGGGATCTAGAATCTTTAATAGCGAGTTTTGTTTTAATTATTGTTGTTGCTGTGTAACTAGAATTAATTTATTTTTAGTTGGGGTTTAACCTAACTAAATCTGGAATGATTGTTTTTTAATACAACATTGCAAAGAACTTCCCTCATCCCACAGGTGGCTTTGTTTGATTAAATTCTACACTAATAAAAATAGCTGAACTTGCTAAATGTTTTAGCCCCATTTAACAGTGCAGGGGAAGAGGCATCCAGCTATTGTTGTGCAATAAAACCTAGGAAACTACACCCTCTTGCCATCTGTAGCTACTTAAGATTAGAATCTCATCATCTCTGTTGGGATGACTGCCAAGTTCTCAAATGCTGAGAAAAATGCTCTGAAAATAAAAAGCAAAACTATTTATTGAACACTTCATATATGTTAGAGGTGGGGGTGGGGGGATGGAGATGATGGTATATAAAATCTCATCTCAACAATGCTATAAAGTGGGCAATGTCATCATTTTGCAGATGAGGAAACAGACTCAGACTGTTAGTGATTTGCCAAGAGCTGATGAGTGAGGAGTCAGGGTCTGTGTGGACTCAGGTCCATCTGATCCAGGATGTTTCACACATCGTGTTTTCTTCTCTACCCCACCCACCCCCAATATTCTTTTCTTGTACTTTCTCACACTTTCCCTTAGTGCTCAGTAATCTCTGGCCCATCCATGGTCTCCCTGGTTTCATAGCCTACACATAAAACTTTTCTGCCTTCCTTCCTCCTTCTAGCCATCTAAATACCATATTGAGCCATTTCATTCTCATCCACTATCCACTAATGCCTAAATCTCAAATTCTATCACCACCATCCCCCCTCTTCCTATCCTAAATCTCTCCATCTGTAACCTCCCATTTATTCATTGACTCCATCATTCTTTGGCTTGATTCTTTGATCAACTGCTTTAATCCTATTATCTCAGGTTTTTGTTACTATCTTACCTTTCATCTTCCGCGACCTTCTTCCCCCAAAAGGGTACCTCTATCTTAGTCACAATTTCAATCTCTCCTGTTCCAAAGGCTCCTTTGCTCTCAAGTTCCTCCTTCCCTGCACCCTATCTGTCAGTTTGCCTGATTACTCTCTTGAGCAATGTCAACTCCCCTCTACTCCTGGCTAAAAATCTTTCATTCTTCCTTTACCTAATCTATCACCAAGGCCTACACTCCTTAGCCTGAAATTCAAGCCCTCCTCACCTCCACACATACACATATACATATCCCATCATATTGTCACAACCTACCTGTTCAGCTACATGTACCACTATCCTTTTTGGATGCCTAATGCTACCATCCAGCTGAATTATGGTGATTTTTATCTTAATGACCCATTTTTCTCCTCCTCTATACATTTACTTATAATATTGCCAATAGCTGGAATGCTAATTATTCTAATCACAAGAATAATTCTACTACTTTTTAAGAGACAGGTCAAAGTCCACTCCCTCTATAACAGCCTATTTCCCTTGCTGGAAGAAATTTCTTTATTCTCTGAATTTTTGTAGCACTTGATTGATCCTCTTATAGCACCTATTGGTTTCTTTCTTTCTTTCTTTTTTTTTTTTTTTTTTGAGATAGAGTCTCACTCTGTTGCCCTGGCTAGAGTGCTGTGGCATCAGCCTAGCTCACAGCAACCTCAAACTCCTGGGTTCAAGCAATCCTGCTGCCTCACCTTCAGAGTAGCTAGGACTACAGGCATGCACCACCATGCCTGGCTAATTTTTTCTATATATTTTTAGTTGTCTAATTAATTTCTTTCTATTTTTGGTAGAGACACGGTCTCGCTCTTGCTCAGGCGATCCTCCTGCCTCAGCCTCCCAGAGTGCTAGGATTGGAGGCGTGAGCCACCGTGCCCAGCCGAGTTTCTGTCATACAATACAGTTAGATATTTACATGTCTGACACCCCTACCAATCTGGGAGCACTTTGAGAAAAGAACCATCTTTATAAGCCCCAAAGTATTTAGTAGTCTCTAACATGTAATTATAGCTAACAAATGATGAGTGAATGTTTAAAAATTAAAGGAACATTTGTGACAGAGCAAATTTAAAGACTGTTTAATGATAACATTCCTCCAGAGATTTAGTTAGAATATTAATAAACTACTGTGCTCTGTATTATAATCCAGTTCATTTACATTATACAAAGTTACACAGATTACTGCTCCATGAATGAAAGCTAGACGGAAATTATTTTTATCTTATCCTACTCTTTTAACAGTTAGGTGGCCCTTTTCATGCACTTCTTAAAAAGCTCAAAATATTTTTCCAGCTTTCAAATTTTAAAATTTAGCATTCCTTCTTTCTTGTTTTGTAAGTTTTTAAAACACTTTTAGTAGTAATAATTCGTCAGGAAATTCAAGGTAAACTATAAACTATTTGTTGGTACTTTCTAATATTTGTTACTTTTTAATATATGCCACATTTTTACTTGACTAAGTTTGAAAAAAATGTACCTATTAAGACATACGAGAGTGTAAAATGTCTCTATTCTTTCCACTAAAAAAGTGCTCTAAAAACAAGTCAATAGTGTGTATCAACAAAGGACCTGTTTAACTTCTATGAGATTGAAGGCAGACTGTTTCAAAGCTTCATTTTATAATCTTTTTATTTGCAAATTTAATTATGCTATTTTTAAGGCTTTTTAAAGAGAGTGTAAAAATTAAGATTTTCCAAGATCTGTAGTTGGATTCCTAAAATTGCATATGCTTCTTTTCATTCACAAACTTACTTTCCTTCCAAATATTTAACTACCATTGAATTATACTGAAGTTGTAGTAGGTCAAAAAACATTTCTAAATTTTTAAAATACTTTTTTCAGATACACGGTATGCAGCCATTGTTTTTCTAAATTTTAGGACAATATATACCAGAGAATTAAACAGTTTTGTACATATATTCATGTAACATGTACATATATTCATATAACAGTATGTTAATTGGGACTTTTTCTGTTGCCCAAAGGCTGAAGAGAGGTGTCCCACTTGGTAAATGCCAAATAAGTTAGGTATAAATAGCCCTTGGCTGTTCACGAAGAGACAGTGCTACCCTGAAATAATTACTCCAGTCCTTCCCTCACCTTTACCCCACCACACCATCCACATACAAGCTCAAGTGGGTATGGATGGATTAGGGGTGGGAAGGAATAAGGGGAGAGAGTGGGGAAGAGAGGCAGAGAGACCGAGAGAATGAATTGTCCAAATTGTGCGACAGTGAACAAGTTTGTCAAAGTTACGAGGAGTACTTTTCCCCAACTCACCCCCAAGGCAAGTAAAGAGAATTTTAAAGAGAATCATTTGTAAAAACTGAAGGCACCTGCCAAGGAAATAGCAGCTATTTGAGCAGGATGCAAGAGTTGGATAAAAGTATCAAGAAGAGGGGAAGGCATGGGAAGATGGTGAAGCGCCTGTTTTCCAAGATTCTGTAGGTGAAGGTGAGTTTCCAGTGGGTCCAGCAGGCATCACTAAAAGTAGTTGGCTTTGAGAATTCTTGCCAGCATTTCAAGAGCAAACATCTGAAATGACAGACTGGACATATGGTATTCCAGTGGGAGCTGAGGGGAGTTTGGAAAAGATGGAAAGGACTTCTCTTTAAGGTAATCTGTATAATTGAGGAAACCAACTACCCCTAAGCACCCCCTCTCCTCATACATGCACTTTATCAGAGAGCTGGCATTTAGAAGGCTACTACACCAGAGGCACCAAAATAGAAACAAAGAAAAAAAACAAAAAAAGAAACCCTATACTAAATTACATAAGGAAAAGTTGCCTAGAACAGAAGCCTTCTTTGGTTATCATTAAAGGCAGCACTAGATAAGCAATAGACACACATCCCTAATTCTCCCCACGTCTCAACTCATATTTCCCTCTTCTTATAGGGACACGGGTCAGAATGGATTAGGGCTCACCCTAAGGGTCTCATTTTAACTTAAACACCTTTAAAACCCCTGTCTTCAAAGAGTTACACTGTTAGGTACTGGGGGTTAGGCTTCAACGCATGAATTTTGGGGAAACAATTCAACCCATAACACCAGACAAGTGAGAAAACAACAACAAAAACCCCCAAGATTCTAAATAGCCAGAAGTCTGGGAGAAGACTGAGGTCTTCTGTCATAAACATGTAAGATGATCCTAAATGGTAAGCACAGGACGAGGAGTGTACTGGCAGGCCGAAGCGCCTGGAGATTGCAGAGTTGGAGCAGTCTTGCCAAAAACAGGAGGGAGGAAGATGAGGCTTTGGTGAAGATCTGTGATGCACAGCATCACTAGAGGGGCTCACCTGGATAACAAAGAGCACTTGCCTGACCAAAATTTAGATATACATGCATAGCCCTATAATATAGGGCCTGGGAGAGGGGTGACTCTTGCAGTTAATCACAAATAGAATCCCATTTCAATAATCAATGAAGAGATTGGGACATGGCAAATCCCACATATTTGTGAGATAGATCTAAAAAAAATGTGTATGAGACAAATATCTTTAAGACTATAAAAGGTAAAATTCAACTAAATTTTAAGTGCAAAGGGAAGAAAAGGTCAGTTTGTTCTCTACTGAGTGGCAGGTCATGAGAGGTTAGAGAAAAAGGCCCTGAGCAGCTAGACTTCCTCGGTTACCTGTTCATACTGCCCTAATTAAACATCAGATACTATTTCAGTGCCTATAATTATTTAAATAAAAGTAGTTCAACTAATCTGTCATTGCTTAGCTGCATTTGCAAACTGGGCTGCTGCTTTTACTACTTTACCTTCCCCAATTCCTTCCCTACATATCTTACTAGTTTAATCACACTTATACCATTAGAAAAATGGTATTTGGGGATCTTTCAAAAGATGGATGGATATTTGGGGATCTTTCAAAA